AACATTAATTATAATATACATAAGGCAATGGTAATAATGACAATATTGACAACAGCAACAACTAATAATAATAATATAATAATAATAATAATAATAATAATAAAATAATAATAATAATAATAATAATAAAAAATAAATAACAATAATAAGTAATAGTTATAAGAATAATCTTTATAATAATAATAATAATAATGACAATAATAATAATTACAAAAATAATAATGATAATGATTCTACTACTACCACTATAATTAATAACAATGATAATACTAATAATGATAATACCAATAAAAATATAATAATGGTCATAAATGATAATAACAATAATTATCATGAAATTAAACAAATAACAATTGTTATAATAATGATAACTTTCAGTATCATTCTTACGACAACAATATTAACATTAATAATAATAATAATAATAATAATAATAATAATAATAATGTTAATGATAATAATAACAATAATGAGAACATTTAAAGTAATAGTAATGACGATAATAGCGATCTTAACAATAATAAATTATATAAAGATATTAGTTATAACAACAACTTTTATTATTGGAAAGTAGTCAATTATATAACAATATGATAATACAATGGAAATTATAATAAGGATGAAAGGAATTATGATATCAAACATAACGCTAGTATTAAAACTACATGTGATGATATCAATGATAATGTTCATGGTAAAATCAATTATGGTAGTATCGATGGTTATATGTTTTTTTATTACTGTCTTTTTAAAAGTATCATTGCTACTGCAGTAATCATCACTGTTACTTATTCTTAGGATTTCAACTCCCATTATTGTTATTATTGATGTTGTTATTGTTAGTGGTCTTACCGCTAGTTTTATCACACATCACAAAATAGAGAAATGAAAATAGCAACTGCAGTAATACTGGGAAAAATAATAGTATCATTAGTGTGGGAAATAATGTTAAGAGAAATCAAAATTTCAAGCGCCGAGAATAAACCGCAGCAGAGGTAACACCACACACACACACGCATATAAATAAAATAATAAAACAAGAAAGGGAATACAAGAAACAAGTTAAAAGAAGGAAAAGGCCATCTCGATAATAACAACAATGATTCGAATAACCTGGCGCCGATGACTTTACAAAGCACGGGAGCGGCCGGGTTGTATAAAAGGTGATCGCGGCCTTTGAACAGCATCACTCCCCTTTGGCTTCCAGATCCTTCACCATGGCTCTCAGGGTAAGGTCTCGACATGCCTGCTCTCCCGGGGGTTAAAGCGAGCCACAAGGGCGATAAATCTTCTGTTTAAAATTGCTAGATGGTATTTTTACCTGGTCTCGTTCGTCCATCTCGTGTATAATATTAATTGCTTGTCTACGTATTTCGTGTCTCGTTCGTTCATGCTGTATTTCGTGATTGCTTGTCTACAGATGGTTTTTTTCGTGGTCTCGTTCGTCCATGCTGTATTTCGTGTATAATATTAATTGCTTGTCTACAGATGGTATTTTTTCCTCGTTCGTCCATGCTGTATTTCATGTATATATTAATTGCTTGTCTGCAGATCGCTGTTTTGCTCGCCCTGTCGGTGACCATCCTCGCCGAATCAATCCCGAGATACAGTCCTCCTGCTCCTTCCTACAACGCCCCTGCTCCCGCTCCTACGGTGTGGCTCAGTGATGTGAACTTTATGTGTGGAAGAAAAATGAACAGCTAGGAATGTGCTGATTGTTTAGCATTTCATAATGTGTTGGTTTTATATCTGAGGTTTCCTCTAAAATGTTACATAAATGTGAACTTTCTTTGCACACACACACACCAAATATACACATGTGTATATATGTCTGTATGGATGTATATGAATATATGTATACACACATACATATACACACACATATATATTTATATATAATATATAACACTTTATACATGCATACACACATACCTATACACGTATATGTACACGATATATATATATATATATATATATATATATATATATATATATATATATATATATATATATGTATGTACACCACATATATATATACGTATATACATGTATATATACATGTACATATATGTATATGTAAACAACACACACATATATGTAAACATACATATGTGTGTGCGTGTGTGTATGAATGTATTACATTTCAGAAATGTTGAATTGATTATTAATCATCGTGTATTTTTTCTGCCTTCAGGGACCTGCCCAATACGACTTCAACTATGCTGTACAAGACAACATCGGAAACGACTTCGGTCACCAAGAAAGCCGAAACGGATACGACACTCAGGGTACCTACTACGTCCAGCTCCCCGACGGTCGTCTCCAGAAGGTCACCTACACTGTCAACGGCGACTCCGGTTTCGTGGCTGAAGTGGCCTACCAGGGAGAGGCCCAGTATCCTGCTCAATCCTACCAGCCTGCTCCCAACCCCTCCTACGGCTGATTTCACCACGACACATTTTTTTTTGACTTTGTGAAAATGTTTGTAAATAAAAGTAATGCTGATAAAGCTGTGTTTGCATTGTATTTAAAGCATTCCTAATGATTACGTAAAATACATATAACGTTTAAATTTATCACTGAACTGTTCGGTTTACACCAATTACCGTTCATCGTCACTAAGATATCATTATTTATAGTTTTAGTTGTTTTGTATTTCTTTCCCATTTCCTTCTCTTTTATCCTTTTTAGTAAATCCAAAAGTAAAATTTTGAAAATATTAAACACATAATATTTATGCAGAATCTCACTCATTTGACGCTTCCAAACCGGATAAACACATTTATTTTTATTTTTATTTTATTAATTTTTTATCATCGATCAGTTAAGCTCTATATTCATATTTATTTTATAATTTATATTTATTATTATTATTTTATATATTATTTTTTATAATATTGCCAGTCTGAATTTACTAGTTTTGTGGATCAAGAGGATCGGTTATCTGAGAACCTACTAATTATACTTATAGAATTATATGAAGTTATATTTATTTCATTACTCATTGTAATCGTCATCTTCACAGTAAAAACAAAAACAATATAAACTACGACAACAAAAATTATGAAGATAATGATACGTAATAAATTACAATAGTGAGAATACAATTAATTATGGTAGTTAATAATGATGATACGTTTTATCCTGATAAAATGGTAATCATATAAATAGATAGCAGTAATCATGTATATGCTAATAATAGCAGTACTATATATTCATGATAATAACTATGAATAACAATAATGAAAATAGTAATGACAGATTTTGACAATATCATTTCATCTTTCATGGTAGCGATAATATTAATGATAATAATTATAGATAAAGTAACAACAGTGATGATTATAATAAAACAAGAACAACAACGAATGGGGCAGTAATGATGATGATTATGAGATATAATTTATTATATTGCTGTTTTTAAAAGATTATAATGATATTGATAATGCTAATGCTATTATTATATTATTATCATTATTGTTATCATTATCATAATCACGGTTTATCATCATTAAAGTTATCATCATTATTATCATTTTTAATATAATAAAGACAATGATGATAATAATAATGATATAATAATAATAATAATAATAATAATAATAATAATAATTAATAATATATAAAATAATAATAATAATAATAATAATAATAATAATAATCATTATCATCATTAGTATTAATAAGGTAGTATTTTCATTGTTGCTATTGTATAAATCATTATTATTATTATTATTATTATTATTATTATTATTTTATTATTATTTATTATTATTATATTATTATTATTTTCATTATCATCATATTATTATAATTGATGGTGATGATAACACCATTAATCTATAATGTTAAACGAAATTATTGTTTTATCGAAAACGTTAAATCCATGACAACGTCTTACTAAAAAAGCCATCATGATATAGTAATAAATCCCCTAAAACAACGGTACTGAAATATTATAATAATAATAATGATAATAAAACATAAATAGAAATACAGTTATTGATATTATTAACAACAATAAAGATAAGCACTTAAAAATATCATAGAATAAAGTATCATCTATCACAAAGAAGAGAATCAGTATAAACCAAACAAGCAAAAACAAAAAAAAAAACGAAAGTTAGCGATAATGATAACAGTTATTTAGTGGCGTTGACCTCAAAGCGACGAGGGTGAGAGGATATATATATATAAAAGCAGAACCAGACAATGAGAGATATCACTCATGCTTTACTTCCTACACTACTAAGATGGCTTTGAGGGTGAGTTCTGATGTAAGAAGAGGACATGCCAAGAAGACATACTCACAAACACAGGTTTTAAAAGAACGATGATCTTATATTTGTGCTTTGGTTGATATTTGAGGTGGAATTTCAGATATGTCGATTGATGAATGTAAACTGAATTTCTCTTCAATTTTAATGATTGTCGCTGCTCTCTTCGCCTTGATGGCAGTTGTTCTTACTGAGTCTGGTCCTAGATACAGTCCTCCTGTCCCCTCCTATAATGCCCCTGCACCCGCACCTTCGGTAAGGATGTAGCGCATAGTACTCGCATATATTATTCTGTCATAGATTTGTTTAATGTTGTATTTCTCTGACTGATATTCTCGGTTTGTAATGTTTTTTTTATTGATTAATTATGATCATTGTGAACTATCATTGAATAATTATCATTAGTTCTTATTACATTGATATTATTGATTTTTATTACTTCATTATTAATCAAAATTATCATCATAATCATTATTATCTTTCATCAGGGACCAGCGCAGTACGACTTCAACTATGCTGTGCAAGATAACATCGGAAACGACTTCGGTCACCAAGAAGGCCGAAACGGATACGACACTCAGGGTACCTACTACGTCCAGCTCCCCGACGGTCGTCTCAAAGGTCACCTACAATGTGAACGGCGATTCTGGCTTCATTGCTGACGTGGCCTACCAGGGAGAGGCCCAGTACCCTGCTCAATCCTACCAGCCTGCTCCTGCCCCT